CCATGGGTTCAGCACTTTTCCCAGAGAGTCTACTTAAAGCTTTTATTGATGACCTCAGAAACAATGTTTATGGTAAGTACAAAACAGCATTCCCATTAGTCTTCTCAAGCTTCCATCTAAATAGATCAAAACTGTGCCTCTTGAGTTGTTGGAAGAGTACTTCTGCATGCTTTTTAATACTGCTATAGAGCAGCTGGAAGACCAGAGATTTTACAAAGGAGTCATAGTCCCTTTTTGTCACCCCTACTTTGTTCTTGGTGGCCAAGGATGTGTCTGTGTTGGTAAAGAAGAAAAATCAAAGGGAGCGTGACTGTTGCCCAGGGGTTAGGGCACCACGCTGAGGATAAACAAATACAACGTAGCTCTGAGCACTGTTTGTTCAGTCTTTTTTTTTTCCACACAAAATGCAAGATCAATTTCTTATGCAAGGACCAGAATCCAGAACTACCCCCCTTCTCAGTGAGAGTCATCACAAGGAACTTATACTGTGGCTCAGTATAAGCATTTTATTTAGACGAAAGCTTAGCTCAAAGATCTCAAGTGAACTTAGGCAGGGAATAGGTGCTATACTTCTCCCAGACTATTAGACTTAGGTGCATACTCAGAAGAAAAGATGTGTATCGCCAAAGCAATCTTGCATATAAGAATGTGAGTAAAAATATCTACAGAATTGTGCAATATCTGGGTGGAGACTTAGCTGTTGCAGCTGTGGACATGGGCACTTCAGCACCACCTACAAGTACTTCGTCCCCAGATCCTCTACTTAAACCTTTCATCTCTTTCAAACATTATTATCTAGCCGAGAACCACACACTGTATGTGTTTAGGAAATAATATTAGTGTGTGAGACAATTTACATTAGAGTGATTCATGCTTAACTAGAAAAAAAAATATACTCTACCATATTATCTATATATGCTGTGAGTAGTGCCACTGAAGTAATCAAAATTTCTTATTGTTTGTTACTATCTGTGGGCTATGTGTCCTTTTTGCTAGTTTTGTGTTCTTCTTGTGCTCCCTGATACATAGAGCAAAGTGATTCCTCACTTGGGAACTAGGTACCACTGCTTTAAAAGAAAACTGTGTTCACTCAAGCACCAGCACGCTTCTGCTTGTCACCTGGGCGAGCCACTTGAGAGTTCTGGGGAGTTTTCATTTTCAGTGTGCCATTGTACGTATCATTTCCCCCTCGTCTGTCTCCTGAACGCTGGCGAGGCCAGGATCCAGAACGTGGATTTAAGTTCCAGTGAAAAATAGATGTTGTTCTTGATAGGGATAGGGTTTTTTGCTGTTGTAACAAGATATGTTGATTTGATTACATTCAAAATCTCCTATTCAAGTGCATGTCAGTGATATTAAAATTAATGTTCTGTCACTACAGCCATTGTAAAGTGAAATGTATGCACTCTGATCTTAGTTATTTCAAACAACATTGCGCTCAACCCTTATAATAAGTACCATCTGTGGTGGAAAAAAATTAAATTCGTGAATCAACTGAGTGCTTGTGAATAGAAATACTAGTGCTGCCAGTTTGGAGCAGATTTGCATAGTACCTATAATGCTATGGGAGAACAAATTGTATCTTTTTAAATACTGCTTTCATCTAAAATGGTAACAAGAGCTCTAATATGGTCAAATCTTTTTTTTTTCAGTTACATCTCTGATACTCTGAGGGCAGTAACTGTTGTATAAAACAAGTTCGTTTAACAGACACAGATGTGAGTGAAGGGGGAGTTTGAATTGCAGCTTTTTTATTTTCTTGATGATAGTCCACAGGCCCAAAGAACTGCAGTTCAGCTGTTGCATGTGTAAATGAGGGGAAGAAATATAAGTAAGGGAGATTCTCACTTCTAAATTGAGAATATTTGAATTGGAAATTACAGAAATGCAACATCAGACATGAATAGTGTAGGCATTAGATTTTGGGGCTGAGCTCTAAATTTATTATTCTTTTTAACACCTTCACTCAATAACTTTCAGCAGGGTGATTCTGAAATCTTAAAATGAGAGTAGCTAATATTGCAGCCTACTGCAAAAACTGTATTAATATAGCAATTTTTTTCTTGTTCTCTTTTCAAACTGTTTAGGCATGTTCTTTAAGCATTTACTAATAGGAAAGCGTGCTGTGCCTGTGTGGATATTGCTGTCATCTTTTTTTCTCAAGCAGTTAAATTTATGCCCTTCTTATGTGCTGTCTTAATTGTTACTACATGCCTGTGCTGAGCTGTGCTAAGGTGGCTACTTGAATTTCAGGCAGTTAAAAAAACAGGGTTAGTCCTGGTGTCCAGTCATGAATGTGTATTACCTCCAGATGCTCTCTCTTCTAAATTGCTTCTTAGCTAGCGCACAAATATATTTATGAACGTGCATTCTATCTGTAGTTTTTCCTAGTACATTTGTGCATATGCAGTTGCATTTTCTTTTTAAGGGAACTGCCTAAGTATTAGTAAGAGATCTGGCTGAAGTTTCAAGGTCTGTGATAATTGCTTTCTTCTGTTCTATGTCCCTTCTCTTGACTAACTGCTCTAAGGAGCTTCAGGGCATTGCTGTGAAGTATACGTTAAATCTTTCTTTGTCATCTTTTCAGGCTGGCTTGGTGTAATACTTTGATAAAAGAAAAAAATTAATAGCAAAATTGTGATTAATGATTAACTTCTATATCTCTGTTGTCTCCTAGGCAACCCTCATAGTCAGAATATCAGCAGCAAACTGACATATGACACAATCGAGCATGTCCGATACAGGTAGAATAATCTTTCTTTCAGATGTTGTATGATGCACTTCATAGTTTTAATTTTGATTAGACCTGTGCTGTTTTGATGACTTTGATGTGATGTCATTTTCTGAGGGTCATCTGCCACATCTAAAGAAAACACCTCACTTTTAAAATACAAGGTACTTGGACAGTCAAGTGTTGGACAAAGTCAGTTCTTTTTCTCCCAGATGCCCCAGTTCTCAAAGTCCCGTAGTTAAATTAGTGCTGTAATATAAGTCCACAGTTTTAATTAAGATATAGAAGTTGGAATCTCAAAAGCGATTATTAGTAAGATGGTATGGTAAGATAGTAAGGTGGAACTAAGTGCAAGGACATGGTTAAAATTCAGATGAAATTAAATAGGGTGTAATGGCTTGTGAGAATTTATAAAAATGTTATGGGAATGTGTACATTGTTTTACAGCAGGTACTTACTTCTGTTGGAGTAATAAAATACCTTTTAAAGTAGTTTTAATGTAATTTTTAAGAGCAAAAAGGAAAAGAAAAGGTAAAATTGAGTGTTGAGGCTTCTGGGTACAGGCCAGAAAGTGAACTGAATCTCTAAATACGGTATCCCCCTGAAAGTTAAGGATAGCGTGGGCTGAAAGTACGCTTCTTGCCATTAGTTTATGCCATGAAGAAATATACAGCTTAGGTACTTGGTTATTGGTTTCAGGGGTTTGTTTTAGGTAACTTGCTATTTTATATGATATGTCTTTATTGAAGAATATGTATGCTTTGAGTTTATTTGCCTGCTTTTAATGGCACTCTTTGTGCAAGGAAAGAAGTGTCATAGATTCCTCTTTGTTTTATCATCTTCCTTAAGAGCAAAGATTTCTCCAAAACACGTCGCAGAATTCAGATCAATAGCAATGGCACTATAGCATTGTAATGTTCATAGTTGTAATGAAGAATATCTGCCTTACACCTTTCTGCTGCTTTTTCTCTGACTGAATTTTTATAAGCATGTAAAAAACCAAGTTTTCTATCTGGCTATAACCTGTTCCCTGCCCCCCCAACATCTTTCTGGAGAAAGTATTTATTTTTGCTTCTTCTGCTACCCTTTCTTATGCTGTGCAGGATGACAGCCTATTAATGTAGGGCCAAATGAAATGAAAATTACTATCTATGAGGAATAGCCGTTTTCAAAAGCAGACACTTATAGCCAGGTACAGCAATACCTACAGCCCTGCAGAGTCTCCTGACCATACCTGCGTGCTCACATGCAGTGTTAGCATTCCGGTTTCCATTTACTCTCAGTGATATTTCAGTGTTGCCATTTAATCGTTCTTCTTATGAAGGCACAGTAGAAAGTGTAGCTGTTTCTAGAATAATTACTATTGTACTCTGTGTTCTTCATTGTTAGGGAGTAAGGAAATAGACTTCCACCATGTAACTTATATAGATTACTTTAAAAGAGCTGACATTTTCAGCTTGTTTTATTTTGGATCCTGCTTTAAAAAAGCGTGAGACTTTTATAAGAGCAGGATGGGATATGACAAGAATCATACCAGTATTTGTATTGGTTTTTTTGGTGTTTTCTTTTTTTCTTTTTTGGGGGAAAAAAAAAGCCCTCTGCTTCCAAATGAACATTTTCAGTACTGCACCTAATAGAATTTGTCATCTATCCCTATAGAAATTCAGCTATTATTGCCCAATAAAAATTTGAAAAGCATAGTCATCAAAAAGGTGTAGTCATAAAAATTCAGGAAGAAAATGCCCCAAAAACACTGTCAGTAAGTCATCTATCTAAAAGGCAATAAAAGTATATTAAAAATCTATACTTCCATGCCATTGCAGCTAATCAAAATAAGCAATATGACAAGACAGGGAGATAGGCAGCTCTGTCCTGCATCACAGCACATAGACTGGATTTCCTCAGTGAAAGAATAATTCAGTGGATAGTTTCAGAAATCTTAAAATTAATTACTTGCTTATAATTCTGCTTTTGGCACATGGCAGCCAGAAGGATGGCTTTTTTTCAGTGTTTGACTCCAAGACAAGATGATTTTTTTTAAAACGTTTTAATTTTATTTTCTAATGAGATGACACAAGCAACTAATTAAAAATAAACACAAAGCTTAATTTCTGATTTATATTTGTCGATATTGGTGATAGCAGCATCAGAATAGACTTTCCTAATCTGGCAGTGTACACTGTATTACAGTACAAAGCTGTATGATTTGGCTTTGCCTTCATATTTGCTGTCCGCTGTCTGCAGACAGAAACCACTCTTAGAAGATGGATTTGCAAGAAAATAACATAAATAATTAATTTTTTGAGTCAATTAATGTTTTCTGTGATTTACAAAATTACAATAATCAAAACAGCTTATCTCTTGACCAACTCAAGTACAGTAAGAGTAAAAATAACTATTTTATTCTTAAAAACATGGCTTCTCTTTAGTTGATGTGAACTACTGAGAGATTTTTAACATTGTGTGTGTCTCTACCTTAACCATGAGTGACGTTGAGAAGAGGAAGCAAGAACTGTAATAAACCTCACCTAAATGTATTAAATGTACGCATCAAAAGATTATAGATCCTCTTTACGACTTTGCTTACGGATGTATGGAAATGCCATTGCTCCATTTCCGTACAGCTAAAGAACATGAGCGCAATATCTCCTTACGATGCTGCAGAGATAATGCAACTCAGAAATTCATTACATTGAGTATTAAATAACCCTTTTCCCATATGCAAGTGTTTTAAAATACTAGCTTTCTGAATATTTTAAAACATTGTCCTTGTAGATCTCACACTTGCAATATCAAATAGTGCAGCAGTCTCTTCTAACCAGAGCCAGGCTGAAGTTTTAGGGTTGTTTTATGTTTGTGGTGTGTTTAAGATATGCGACAGGATGCCTTTTTCATTTCAACACACTGTTGTTGAATTTAATAGGGTTTTGATGTTCATTCTTGAACTTTCAGGTACTATGAAATGTTAAACTTAAACATACTTTGGGAATTCAAATATATATTAAAAAAAAGGCAAGAAATTTCAGCTAAGATTTCAGCACTAGGCATCTCCTAGACTGTGGCAATATGTGTATTATAGAGTTTTCTCACTGAAGCTAAAAGGATTTGGCATTGAGCTAAATGGGATCAAGTTTAAATATAGAACCAAAACGTGTATTTCTATAAGGCCTCTCTCAAAATATGCCATCTAAGTGAACTATAAGAGGAGAATAATCTCTGTGGCCTGCACATGCGAATGAAAAAAGGTGCAGCAGGCATGCACAAAATGAATGTCAGCGGCTTAGTATTTTAAAAAAATATTTGCTTCTGTGGTAAAACACGCAGGTGGTACTGGATTTTGCTAAGGAAGCAGTCATATATGCTGATATAATTTCATTTACATTGTATTTGTAGAGATCATTTTGTGATAGCAAGGTAAAGCTTTGCATTCCTTCTATAAGCATCATACCTTGCTTATGAAATAAGTTTCCATTCCAAGTCTTTTTTTTAAATTATCACATGTTCTGAAATGGTGCTATGCGCAAGATAAGAATTTTTTTCTTTATTCCCAGGTTTAAGCAGTTCTGTGTTTGAAAACAGTAATGTTAGAACAGATACATACATGAAAATTGGTTGACCTTTCCTACACAGTAAGAAATGGTAGATACAGTATCTGCTTAGTATTGATTTGTCCTTTGCAAAGGTCATCGACAGGAGACCGTACGGATGAGTGACATCTGAGCGCTGCATCCTGTCCTCCTTAATGATACCTATCAACTTGAAAACCTTGTTTCAAAACTAGAATGGTTCAGCCCTTTTGCATGCTTGTTTTATAACACCATTTACAAATGCTGCTTTTCCTGATCCCGCTGCTCAGCTGCCAGGGCAAGTCTGAAATACCACAGTTGGTGAAGTCTAGCAAAAGGAGACAGTGCTCACTGGGGTGACTCTGTACACGGCAGATGAGAGAAACATTAGAAGATAATTATGAATAATGGATAGGTTTTTTTGGAAGAGCTTGATAATAGGCAAGAGGGGTGATCTTTTTCCTCATGGTTCATGAAATGATTTTACGTAGGCGTGCAGTGAAACAATCCCAGTGTGCCCATAGTGAGCTGGCTGATATCCCGCCTCTATGCTCTATGCACTGAGCGACAACAGAGAAACGACTTTGGTGCAGGTGCTGCTTGTTTTCTCCTGGCCACACCTAGCCTTTTATGAAACTGTGGGAACCTATTTTTTTTCTTCTTAGCACTAACTTAGATGCTTAGCACTTAACTTAGCACTACTTCTTAGATGGATAGTAAACTTAAAATGAAGACAAAGGACTCCATTTTATAAACAGTTGTTTCTAGGAGTCAATCCATTACTTTTGATGGATTTACTCTTTGCAATCCTATGCAAGGTAGTAAAAAGCTTCTGGACACGGTAACAGGTACTGCTGTTTTTTAATGAGTTAGGAGACTGGTTTAAGAACCAATGAAATCAGTCTGGTTTACTTTGGAACTTTGTCCTGGACTTTCATCTCTGTTTTAATAAATTCATTAACCATTAACTTGATAAACGAAAGCTTTAGAACGGAATTTGTGAATACTGTCTGTTATTCTTCTGGTAGTCAGCTTTATACATTCATGGTTTATATGAAGAGATTGCAGTAAATAAAATTTGTGCATTCATGGTCATGCTCTCTGAGTAATCTTTGTTGCAAAGAGAGACAAATTTGGAATACGTCATTTGTTGAAAGAAATAAATATTTCAGTAAAGGAAATTAAAATCTGGAAGTCAAGATTCCTGGTTTATGAAGGATGAAATGCTTCTGGGCCATTCTGAGTTTAATTTCTATGAGTGGTTAAGAGGGTGTTTTGCAAAGAGGTCTGAAAAAGGGTGGATGCAACCTTTAATTTTTTTCCTTCCCAATTCAGAAAAAAACCTCAGGAATCTGCTTTTATAATGTGGCTGTGTCAAAGAAGCAATGGAGAATAAGTTTGAAAGTGATCTTACTGTGCCATTGCTCTCTAGATAACATTCCGAGTA